ACCTAAGTTGGTTAGACTCTTGAATTAGCTGGGCAGAGAGCTTCTCCTAGTGCAGGTCTTCCTGAGAACAGGGCGCTCTGGCATGTTCCAGAATGGCTCCAACCTCCCCCTGCAGGCTTCGAGAGGAACCTTTTCTCCAATGCTCACTGTGAGGACCTGGCAGCGCTCCCAAGAGGTAAAGCTCACAAAAGCATGAGGCTCCCTGCAGCAGGGCCTCAGGAGCTGACACTGCCCCAGCAGTCACAGCCCTCCAGCAACAGCCCCCATCTGCCCTGCACACTGGTTCCAGCCCTGGCTCCTGTCCTGAACCCGCTTGGCTGTTGCTCTGCCCTGGGGCTCCCTTCTCTGACAGATCTAGGGAGAATTCTGGATTTTTTGGTTTCTTCAGCTTTTAGTCATTAGACGTCCTCACAAGTCAGACAGAAATCTGAATCCTTTGTGTTTCTCCAGCCTTGCTGGTCACCAACCCATTTTTTGTGTCAGTGGAGTGATTCCGGAGGAGAACCTGGGAGGACTCCAATGCTCTGCCTCCTTAGTGAGGTGCTGGCATCTTGCTCCTGTGGGATTGGCTTCTTCCAACCTGTCCTGCAGAGGGGGGAACTGATACATTGGGTATTTGAGTTCATTGGGATTTTTCTGTCTGCATGGCATTGAATGCTTCATGGACCTTGAATTAAAATTGTCCATTGATATTATTAGAATTCTTGGAGCAAAATTCTCAACAAAATACAAATGGTCCCTACTTGTGATGGTTCACCTTAATGAATTTTTTTTTTAACAATACTGAGCAGGGCCAGGGATTTAGCTCAGTGGTTTCGCCGCCTGCTGCACAAGCACAAGGACCAGAGTTTGATCCCCGGTACCAAAAAAAACCCCAAAAACCCAAACAATACTGAGCAGTGGGGCCGGGGATTTAGCTCAGTGGTTCCAGCACCAGCCTCGAAAGCTCAAGGTCCTGAGTTCAATCCCCGGTACCAAAAAAAAAAAAACAACACTGAGCATTGAACCCAGAGCCTGAGCTACATCCCAGACCTTAATTTTTTTTTTTTAAGACGGGATTTAGGGTCGAAGATTTAGCTGAGTGGTTTCGCTGCCTGCTGCTCAAGTACAAGGCCCCAAGTTTGATCCCTGGTACAAAAAAAAAAAAAAAAAAGACAGGATTTCGCTAAGTCACTAAATTATCCGGGTCAGGCTTGAACTTGTGATCCTCCTGCTTCAGCCTCCCAGAATTCTGGAATCAGCTTCATGATTTTTTTACTTTAGCATGGATTTGTCTGGACATAACTTCATCCTATGTCAAGGAGTGTCTATATCCTTAGGTAGCTTTTATATTTGTGAAGAAAATGTATTTCAAGAACAAACAAATATTCTCGCAGATACTATTCTCTAAAAGCTCAGTAAAGGGCTGGGTATTTAGTTCAGTGGCACTGCGCCTGCCTCACATGTGCAAAGTCCCAAGCTCGATCCCCAGTACCGGAAAAAGAAAAAAAAAAAGTTCAGTAAGACATAGCCAAGAGAGGTGATATGTGCCTGTAATCCAGCACTCTGGAGGCTGAGACAGAAGGATCATGGGGAGTTCTTGGCCAGCCTGGGCTACATAGTGAGTTCAAGGCCAGCATGAACTCCTACCAGACAGGACCATCTCTCAAAAACAACAAAATAAAGTTCAGTAAAACAAAACAGTGATAAATTTTATCTTGGGAAAAGACCATCATCTGGGGCAACTTAAAATTTGGGAGAATGGGAGGAAGTTGATGGCTCATTAGGCTAAAGCATTGAAATTGGGAAGAAGGCCCTATGAATTGCGCCTCAGTGGATTTCATTCACTTATTTTTATTTAGCAACTACTTCCTGTGTGCTCGGTGTAGTGCCCACTCCTTTGTTGGTGCTAGGCATCTAGCAGTGACCAGACAGAGTTCTGCCCTCAGAATAGAGGACTGTGGGCCACCAGGTCACCATGAACTCCCCCAGATGCCGTGGTACGTGACAGCAGAGCCTTCTGACCACACAGACCAAGGGCATTCACAAGACTCCTGATAGAGACCCTAGTGGGTGCCTCAAGAAACAGGATGACACCGCCCTGGCCCTGTCCACACCACTCCCGGCCTCTGCCCCCAGTGGAGCCGAGTGTCCAGTCCCAAGGAAAGGGTGAATCGTGGCTCTAGGCAGTGGTCAGAAGATTGAAACTCAGCCATGTTGGTGCCCAGCACCCTCCCAAGCAGGCAAGGAGACTTTAGAAACACTTGTCCCAGAACTCAAGGAAGGCTTATCTCACTGTAACAGACTACAATGCTGCACAAAAATAGCCTTGAACGGGGGCCAGGGATGTAGCTCAATGGTGCTGTGTCTGCCTGGCAAGCACAAGGTCCTGAGTTCAATCCCTGGTACCGGAAAAATAGCCTCGAACAACAGCAGATTTTCTTACTTTAATGTTAGATTGTTCCCTTTTTGATTTCTTCTAATATTTTATATTGTGAAATAGAACATATTTTGAAAAATGTATGTGGGCCGGGGATTTAGCTCAATGGTGCCACCGCCTGCCTTGCAATTGGAAGGTCTGGAGTTCGATCCCCAGTACCAAAAAAAAAAAAAAAGGAAAAATGCATAAAACACAGCAACATAGGTAACAAGTTGGTGAAGAGCAGTGGTGGCAAACCTATGGCACACATGTTATTTTTCTTTTAAGATAAAATATGTTGGGCCGGAGATTTAGCTCAGTGGTTTTGCCACCTGCTGCGCAAGCACAAGAACCCGAGTTTGATCCCCGGTACCAAAAAAAAAATAATAAAAGATGTTAATGTGTAGTTTTTTTCTAAATTAAACCCTCGGTATTCAGGTTTAATTGATGTGTTGGCACTTTATGATAGATAAGTGGGTTTTGGGTTGCAGTTTGGGTACTTGTCTCTAAAATGTTTGCTACCACTGGTGCAGAGCAAATGCCCCTGTAACTACCACTTCACTTGAGAGAATGGCTGGTGCCCCACCCGTGTCCCAGCCTCAGCCCCCTCCTGGCTTTTGTGGTGACCTTGTCCTGCTTGTCTGTGTGGTTCCACTGCATCTGCAGGCATGGGTTTTGTCCTAGGTGTTTAATAGTCGGGAGTCATCTCAGGTCATTCTGATAAATAAGGAGGGAGATGAAGCTGGCTTATGCCATTTCTATTAAAAATAATAATAATAGTGGGCCAGGGATTTAGCTCAGCGATTTCACCTCCTGCTGCACAAGCACAAGGACCCGAGTTCAATCCCTGGTACGAAAAATTTAAAAATAATAATAATAATAATAATAATAATGTTTGTGAGCTGGTAAAGTGTGTCCCTGGTACGTACAAGTCCCTGGGTTCCCCAGCACCACAAAAAAAAATTGAAAAAGGAGATTTGCTCAAAAGCCTTAAGGATGACTGCCTTGTTTGATGTGAACCAGCCCCATTGAAAGAAACCCCAGCTTGTCCTATGCTGGCCAAACTGCTGTGAGGACTTGGTCACCTGCGCCTCTTCATTCTGTTCATCTGTTTTATCTGTTGATTTTGTTTTCCCAGTGTCCCCTCCAGGACACACCCCATTTCCCAGTGCCATCTATGGTTGAGTGGCTTAGAGTCTGTCCCCTCAACATACTTGTGGGGAGGGCTGTAGTCATTGCTTGTCCCAGTCCTCCCTAAAACCCAGATGACCTCCGTGTGTGTGTCCTTGTCAGGATCACCTTCTGGGGGCAGTGCTTTGAGAACTGGAAGGTTTTTGACAGTGACTTTTCCCTTTCCAATTTTCTTCCTTCTGAAGACTCTTGTTGCCTGCCAACCTAGAGTAGTGTGGGTTTGCCCTCCTGGTAATGCATGAGTGAGGGACCATTTCCAACTCTAGTGACCCCCACCAGTCTTACTTGATTAATGTCAGATTCCTTTCCATTTTTATATTAGAAATAAGAACTAAATAACTGAGCGTGGTGATGCACACCTGTAACCCAGCACTCTGGGAGACTGAGGCAGGAGAATTGCAAGTTGGAGTCCAGCCTGGGCAATTTAGCAACTTAATGAAACTGTGTCAAATTTTTTAAAAGGGTGGGTGGAGTGGGGATGTAGCTCAATGAGAAAACCCTAAAAAAAAAAAAAAAGAGAGAGAGAAGACCCTAGTTCAATCCCCAGTACTGCATTAAAAAAACAAAACAAAAACCAAGATGAGAACACACAGTGATATAGCCATCACATTACTTTATTACATTGAGCTCAGGTAAATATTATATTGAATTTATATTTCCTGACTACTGACGATCTGGAGTCGACATGGCACAAACTGGAGACATTCTGGAGGTAGGGATGAAACGTGCTCACCTCACTGCACCCCAAGATAGTGTATCTTGGCAGGAGATTAGGGATTGGCCCAGTGCTCCAACCACATAGGAACTGGTGATCAGAATCATAATCCCAGCAGGTGTGACATAAAATTGCCATGGATAGAAACGGAATTTCTAGCCCCAGCATTTGCATCTAGGCACTGCAAATAGCAGTCCTGGGAGCAAAGAAACATTCTCATGGGCCAGGGATTTAGCTCAGTGGTTTCACCGCCTGCTGCACAAGCGCAAGGACCCGAGTTCGATTCCCGGTACCAAAATTAAAGAAATATTCTGGTGTCAGTTCAGCACCCCTGCAGACCAAGGTCAAGAAACGCAGTGGGGCTGTTAACTTTATTTCACTTACTCCATTTATTTTTTGAGATATGATCTTGCTAGTTGCCCACGCTGGCCTCAAACTCTGACTCCTCCTGCCTCAGCCTCCTATGCAGCTGGGATCTCAAGCTGCAACATAATGCACAGCTCTGTCTATAGATATTAGGGGATATTCTTTGCAAAATTTCCCCAGTGTTCTAAAAATAATGTTTTGAAAGTTTTGTTTTATCATCTAACCTGAAAGTGATGCCAGGTAGGCATTGAGAGGCTGGGTTGGCATGTTAAGTAATCCATAAACTACTAGTAATGAAACTCATTTTTTCATCTTGGTTGTGTTCCACAGGCTCAGAAAAAGAGTTTAAATCAAACCTCCCCTGTTTCCACTTCCAAGGCTGCAGATGGCCTGAGGCCGGCGCAGATCCCCGGGCTCCTGAGCACCACACTGCCAGGTCAGGACCCCCAACGCAGCTCCCAGGCTGCCCCGTCCTCCCCTCCCTAATCCATCTGCGTGGAACCTGCCTGCCCAAGTCTCCCTGTACTCTGATCATTCCTCTTCTGTGTATCCTTTTCATTCAAACAATGCACTGTGTTGCATCAACCATAAAATATAGCACCATTTCATTTGTTACTAAGAGAGAAAAAAAACACAATTGAACTAGAACTTTTTTTTTTTTTTTTGAGACAGGGTGACATTGGATTGCCCAGACTGGGTTCAAGCTTGCAATCTTCCTGCCTCAGCCTCCCAGAGTGCTGGGATTACAGGAGTGCACCAGCATGCCTGACAAAAATATGCTTCTTTGAAACAATGAGACCTACTATCATGTAGTGCATATGACTTTGTAATTCTCCTCATGCCACTTTATATATGTATATTAACAATTCCAGGCAGGTGTGACAGTACACACCTATAATCCCAACACTCTGGGAGGCTAAGGCAGGAGAATTGGAAATTTGAGCCCAGCATGGGCAACTTAGTGATTTAGTGAGATCCATCTCAGGGCCAGGGATTTAGCTCAGTGATTCCGCCTCCTGCCTTGTAAGCGGAAGGACCCAAGTTTGATCCCCGGTACAAAAAAAAAAAGACCCATCTCAAAATTTAAAAAACAGTATTTTAAAAGGGATAAGGATGTACCTCAGTACCAAGCCCTTAGGTTCAAGCCCCCGACAAAAGGATCCTTCTCTCTTGAAACTGAAAATATTTTTTAGTTATATCTGCCATTCTTTTCTAAGGCTTTGAAGACCCATGCTACTCAGTTATGCTAGAAAAAGACAAAAGTTTGGGCATTCCTAGTCAGCTTCCTCTTTGGCCTTAGGTTGCATTTTGGGGACAAGAGTATTTACAGACTACAGGCTTGAGACCTGTTTCTTAGTCCACAGATAATTTGAAATTATAGCATTTCCAGCTTCTATTTATTACCATTTACTTAATTAACTGCCTAAATAGGCTTTTTTTTTCTACATAGGCTTTAATAATGCTCTCCTCTGCCCGATAACAAACTGTCCCCCCTGCTCCTGTCCTCGAAGGAATCATCCCCGTCACTGGGCACCTGCATACATTGGGCTCCGGTGTACGGCAGTCCTGATGTACCAGTCTACATTGTCTTCTCTCTTAATTCTCACAGGACAGGATACAGGAAGCAAAGTGATGCCAGCATCCTTGGGAACCGCACAGCCACAGTTGGAGAAGGCAGTGGGGTCGTCTCCTGGGCAGCCAGCTGTGCAGGTGGGAACCATCCGCATGGCTGCTTGCTCGGGTCTGCATGGCTGAACGGAAGTGTGCTTATGTTTCTAGAATGAAGATGTCTAGGTGATTTCTGATATGTTACATTGTTTCACAAATCTATTTTTCCCTTTATGATTTCATAATGTACCAGCAGGGGCTGAGGTGCCGCTCAGTGGCAGAGCTCTTACCTAGCATGTGCCCTTCATTCTATCCCCAGCATTGAATGAATGAATGGATGAAGAAATTAAATATCACCATCTAGAATATACACACTAGACACTCAAGAAATGCACCCTGGGCCGAGGATTTAGCTCAGTGGTTTTGCCGCCTGCTACGAAAGCACAAAGACCCGAGTTCAATCCCCAGTACCAAAAAAAAAAAAAAAGAAAGAAATGCACCAGCTGGTGAGGTGCACACACTTGTAATCCCAGCACTCTGGGAGGCTGAGGCAGGAGAGTTGCAAGTTCAATTCTCCGTACTGCCAAAAATATTACCAGTTAAGAGTTTAATGAAACTTGCTACAGTCTGGGCCAGCCCCATGATACCCAGGGAAGGATCTGTTTGGTTCTCTCCAGGTCTGACATACACTGGACTTGTTTCCTTAATGAGACATAAGAAATGCTCTCTTAGACCACACAGCTGGGCTGCATGACAGAGCCCAAAGTGCTGCTCCCTCACTCACTGCTGACCAGATGACTGAGTGGCATCTGCTGATTCCCAGATGTGCATGGAATTGGTACCTGCACACATTGCTTCACAAATATGGTAGTAGAGAGCTAAGGGTTCAGGCTTAAAGTACAGCTGAGCCAGGCATAGTAAGTAGTGCACATATGTCTTCCCAGCCAGCTACGCCGGATGCTGAGGCAGGAGGATTGCTTGAGCCGAGAGTTCAGAGCCAGCCTGGGTGACACAGTGAGACCTTGTCTCAAAAACAACAACAACAACAACAACAACAACAACAAAAACCCTAGAAACTTGAGTCCTTCTTTGATACTGACAGCATGGCTTTCTGTAACCTGAACACAGCACAACTTTGCTACCTAGAGTCTGCAGACTTGTTGGGTTTTTATCAGGGCACATCCAGGCCAGAGATTTAGCTCAGTGGTGCCACCACCTGCCTCGAAAGCCCAAGGTCCTGAGTTTGATCCCTGGGACCAAAAAAAAAAAAAAAACCTCAAAGAGTCAGGGCTCATCCTGGAGTCCTAGAATATGCTCTAGATAGGTCATTGAAAACGTTTCGAACATGGTGACTTTTCTGTGTAACTATATGCTGCTGCTTTTTCTAGAAAAGGGACTAATAAGGTGTCTTGCCCTCAGGTGGACGGTCACTTGGGAGGACAGAAGAGGCCAGCCACAAAACAGCTCACGAAAGGCGCTTTGTGAGTTCCTCTGGAAATGACAGATTAACTCCCAGCATTTCTCTGGGTCCCTAACCTTAATAAATATACTCCAGAAATGAGGCTACAATAAGGAACTTACTAGCCTTTTTTAAAATGTACTTTGCCTGGGCATGATGGTGCACACCTAGAATTCGTCACTCTGGGAGGCTGAGGCAGGATTACAAATTTGAGCCCAGGCTGGGGAAATTGGTGATTTAGCAGGATCCTGTCTCAGAAAAGACTCAGGGATGTAGCACAGTGCAAAGTCCCGTGTTCAGTTCCCACTACCAAAAAAAGGTCTTGAAAATCTTTTCCTGCAGTTTGATTTCACTGGGACCAGTGACTATATCAGCCATAGCTTGAGCTTACTGTTGCTCATTTTTTCTGAAGAACAGTTCTTTGTCTCTTTGGAGACAGCCTCTGAGGAGAAGCATGGCCTAATGAACGCCATGTTGGAGACAGTCACATCAGCATATGCTCACAGTCACCTGCCCCACGAGCAGTTGGTAGCAGCACTGTGCTTCTCATCTACAAAGTGCAAACTGAAGGGAGAACCCCAGTGCTCCATTACAGCAGCACTCCTGCTGCCCCATGTCCTTTGCACACACGTACATGTTATGGCCACACTCCCTCCCTTCCAGACTGCACTGACCTTGCCGCTTCCCTCTGCAGAATCCTCCAGCAGCTACAGAGGGACCAAGCCCACGCCGTGACCCCCGACAAGAGCCAGTTCCGCTCACGCAGTGACGCAGTGCAGAGGCTGCTCTCCTACCATGTGTGCCAGGGCTCCATGCCCACTGAGGACGACTTGAGAAAAGGTGAGCACCCAGCATCGATGGCAGGTGCTGTGCTGCCCTCAGGAGCAGGCGCCGCTCATCCAGCCAGGGATGGGGTACTGTTTTCATTACAGACTTGCATTGCTCCCCGATTCCTATTTCCTGGGCTACAGTTGGGGTGTGGCTTATTCTTCTCCATGTCCTGGGATGGGGACCCCCTCATGCCATGGTATCTTGTTGACACAGTGGGCAGTGACTGAAGCAGATGGAACAGCTGTGGACTTGGTACTCAGCACGGCACTTGAGTTTAGAGGCTTCACCAGTTCTGTTCCCAGGTAGTTCTGTGAGCCTCAGGTCACAGGTTAGGCTAGGGCATTGGCTAAAATTCACATATCTTAGTCACTTGCACGTTGCTGAGACACAGTGCTTGACACCCACGACTTACAGCAGGAAAGTTTGATTTTGGCTCAGTTCCCATCCAAGGTCGGCTGCCTCCAAGGCAGAAGCAGCAGGGCAGAGGGACTTGGAGAGAAAAAAGCTGCTCACATCATGGTGGCCAGGAAGCAGAGAGAGCAGTGAGCTGGAGAGGGAGATGTACCCTTCCAGGCCACACCCTGGTGACCACCGCTTCCTCCCAGGCCCAACCTCCCAACAGGAAGTTAGCTGTAAGCTCCCGTGATTCAACACCTTCCAAAAGCCCCCACCTATAAGCTCGTGAGGCTCTTGGGGAACATCTAGATATAACCATAATATCAAGAAACTGACAAGAAGGTAAGTGACCGGGCCCCTGCTCCAACCTAGAACTCAGCCCATCCTGCTGCTGGCCCAGCTGCCAGCCCTGACTCCATCAGTGCCCTCCTATACTCCAGTCCCTCCCTCCACTGCCACTAGTCTGGCTGATCCTGATGGCATCTCTGATTTCAGAGTATAATGGAGTCTGTCAGTCACTGTGAGCCTCCCAGGAGGCCAGGGGAAAGGGTCCCACCCCACATTAAACAGGGCTGTAAAGACTGAGAAAATGAGTGAGTTATCGAATGCGAAGTCTTGGGAGACTGAAAGACGAAGTGCAGAGCTGCAGACCGTGATCCGCAAGGTGTCAGGGCCAAGTCCGTGCCTCTGCATTAAGCCGGCCTGCCCAGCTTCACAGTTACTGGTCGCTGTGTCCACGTGCTGTGGAGGGACGTGGGGGCTTAGCTCATCAGACCAGCAGAGCTCTGCCCACTCACTGAGGTCTGCTCCTCGGCTATTGGTGACTCTGTTTTAGTGAGGCCACTCAGCAGCATTAGGGTTTTGGTTCCTACTGAACATCCACATAGCAGTGCACAGCAAGGGAAAGCAGCACGAGACGCGATGCTTAACCGAGGAAGAGCAGAGGAGCAGCACATTCCTCAGAGATGAAGGCCTCGTGGGTGATCCATGCTTGCCTACTCTTTTTCTCTCTCTTTTACAGTGGACAGTGAGTTTGAAACAGTTGCCACTCAGCTCCTAAAAAGGACACAAGCTATGCTTAACAAATACAGATGCCTGCTCCTGGAAGATGCCATGGTATGTATGTACGTTGTGCTCCCAGGCACATTGTTGGTTTTTTTTTGGTACTGGGGATCAAACTTGGGACTTTGCGCTTGGGAGGCAGGCGGCAGAACCGCTGAGCTAAATCCCTGGCCCAAGTACATTGTCTTTTCCAGCTCCACAGCCCCAGCTGCAGAATCAGGGAGGAAGAGGTTAAGGATCTGCACTTACAGAACGCCGTTTAAGAGGCTCCTGTAGTTCTGGTTCAGGAAAACTGACACTTAGCCATTACAAGTGACAGCAGCTGACATGGGCTGCAGCGCCTTGTGTGGATCATGAATAGTAGTGCTTTTTTCTCATTTAACAATTAAGGAGTTGTCATGTTACACAAAGTGAGCCAGGCCTAGAAAGACAAGCATCTCATTGTGGTCTCCCTCCAATCTAAAACAATTGATCTCATGGCAGTTGAGAGTAGAATGGTTGTTCCTGGAGGCTGGATGAGGAGGGGGCGGAAGAGAAAGGGAGAGATCAAGGGATACTAAGCTGCACTTAGGCAGGAATGAGAATTCTGGTGCCCCTGGGAATGGTGGCGCATGCCTGTAATCCCAGCTACTCAAGAAGCAGGGGGATCACAAGTTCAAGCCCAGCCTGGTAGAGTTAGCAAGACCCTGTCTCAAAAAAAAAAAAAAAAAAATTTAGTAAGGCCTGGGGAAGCCAGGCATGGTGGCCCACAACTGTAAACCCACCACTTGGACAGCTGAGGCAAGAGGATCGCTTCAAGTTTGAGGCCAGCCTGGGCTACATAATGAGACCTTATCACCAAAAAAAAGTGTGGGAGGTTGAGAGGGCTGGGAATGTGGCTCAGTGATAGAGTACTTGCCTAACATGTGAGGCCCTGGGTTCAGTCCCCAGTACTACAAAAAGAAAGGCTCCAAAAATATAATTTAAGGGCTGGGGATTTAGCTCAGTGGTTTCGCTGCCTGCTGTGCAACCTCAAGGACCTGAGTTCGATCCCTGGTACCCCCCCCAAAAAAAAATACAATTTAAGCCAGGCATGGTGGCACATGCCTGCAATCCCAACATTCAAGAGGAGTGAGGTCAAGGTCAGCCTGAACTACATAGCGAGACCCTGTCTCCAAAAAAAGAAAAAAGAAAAGAAAAGAAAAGAAAAACATAAATACAGTTCAATATTTGATTCTATACTGTAGAAGCCTTTAAAAAAATACAAAACAGAAAGGATCCCGGGGGCGAGAAAGAAGGCAGTTGCTGGGCCATGGGAGGAAATATGAGCTGAGGGGGGCTGTGGTCGCTTTCTCTCCGCTGCCGCAGCCATGCCCAGGGATGCGTGGCTCTGGCTCCTGTCCAGAGCTGTGCACTGCACCCACCGCCCTGGGCTCTGAGGACCCCCACATCCCTGCGGCATCCGGGCCAGTGAGCAGGCTGAGGGCGGCTGAGGGCTGCCGGGGCCGCGGAGGGAGCGCGGGGAGGGGCGGCCCAGGCCCCATACCCACCCGTGACCCCTTCCACGCACCGACGCCAGGACAGGAGGATGATTGGCGCCGGGCTCTGAAGCATGGAGGGGGTTCTGTAGAAGTGGACCGACTATCTGACAGGTTGGCAGCCTCGCTGGTTTGTTTTAGATAATGGAATCCTGTCCTACTGTGAGTCACAAGCTGATGTTTGCAAAGGAAGTATAAAGATGGCAGTCTGTGAAATTAAAGTTCATTCAGCAGACAACACAAGAATGAAATTAATCATTCCAGGAGAGCAGCATTTCTACATGAAGCCAGTAAATGCAGCTGAAAGACAGAGGTGGCTGGTTGTTCTGGGGAGCTCCAAAGCATGTTTGACCGATACTAGGACTAAAAAAGAAAAAGAAATAAGTGAAACCAATGAATCTCTGAAAACCAGAATGTCTGAACTTCGCCTCTACTGTGACCTCCTAATGCAGGAGGTTCCTGCAATCCAGGAATTTGTTCACGGTGCTGAGAGTCATTCATCTCCCAGCGTAGAGAACATGAATGACGCCTCTTCCCTGCTCAGTGCCATATGTAACACATTCATCACCACACTTGAGGAATGTGTGAGGATAGCAAATGCCAAGTTTAAGCCTGAGATGTTTCAACTGCCCCATCCCGATCCTTTGCTTTCTCCTGTGTCACCTCCTGTTCAAATGATGATACGTTCTGTTAGTCACCCTGGTTCTTGCAGTTCAGAAAGGAGCAGCTGCTCTATAAAAGAACCAGTGTCTGCACTTCACCAACTCTCCCAGCGACACCGAAGAACCTCCTCAGCTGCAGACTCTTGTAATGATCTTCCCCTTGAAGACCCAGACAGACGTGTTCACTGTTCAAGAAATACACTTAATGGAGATTTGACATCAGCAACCATTCCTGAAGACAGTAGACTTATGGCCAAAAAGAAATCTGAATTGAAAGATCCTCTTCCATCCTTCTCTTCCTGAGGAAATGGAAGTGTCCAACTGCCTCTAAGCATTGCTGTGCAAAAGCTTCTGTAGTTAAACTTGTTATAGAGGGTAGTTTTTCCCTTTACTTAGGATTTCTTGCACTTTACAGAATATTATAAAACAGACAAATAAAAAACAACCCACAGGGCTGGGGATTTTTAGCTCAGTGGTTTCGCCGCCTGCTGCACAAACACAAGGACCCAAGTTCAATCCCTGGTATCAAAAAGAAATAAAATATAAATAAATAAATAAATAAATAACTGTGAGGGACTGATAGCTTGGTCAGTGTATATTGTAGTTTATAAACATGAAATCTTACAAGGTTTCAGTTTGACAGAAGTGTGATATATGTAACTTGTGCCATGGACTAAAAGGTCACTTTACCCCAGCTTAAAGTTAGTTGTGATAGCAGCTTGATGGTGATTGTATTGTGTTCCTTTAAGCAAAAAGGAAAAACTTAATATTCTAAATATCTTTAGCCCAACTTGAACATTTTTCAAAAAAGCAGACTGCTGTCCTTCTTATGTGAAGTTGACACTACTGATATGTTGATACTTTGGTTTAAAGTTTGAGTATTTGGGCTGAGGATTTAGCTCAGTGGTTTCGCCACCTGCTGTGCAACCACAAGGATCCAAGTTCGATCCCTGGTACCAAAAAAAAAAAAGTTCGAGTATTTAATTATTTATTTATTTATTATCTTGTTGGATCAAAAGATGATTGCATTCTAACTTTTGTTACCTACCAAATTTAAGATGTCTATGCACTGTAATTTACATTGTTCTACAAAAGAGGTTAATGTTGTAGTGACCTTGCTCACTTAAACCGGAGATATAAATGGCTTTCAATGGAAGAAAATTTTAGTGCTTTTATTTTCCTAAAATAGACTAAGCTGCTATTGTAAGGTATCATTTGCAGCTCTTTAGAATATCTAGAGACAATTTTTTATTTGTGAATATTTATACAAAGAAGGAATTCTGTCAAGGTGATTGTTATATATCACTTGAAAATGACATTTTTTAGTTAAAGAGTAAATGGCATGTTTTGGTAGTGCCTGTCCATCTCTATTGTCAGTGTTTACCTTGTAATCTGTTTTTTAAAAATTTACTCTGGGGTGATCGTTTTGTCTAAGGTTTTGGATGAGCAGCATTTTAAAACAAATTGGCTTGATGTTTTTAAGTTAATCATGTTTAATAAATGTGTTTTTTGCATTCAAAAAAAATACAAAACATTGTAGAACATAAAGTAAAATGTCATCCCAAAGCAAAGATGTGTAAGATGGGCCGGGGATTTAGCTCAGTGGTTTTGCTGCCCGTGGCGCAAGCGCAAAGACCTGAGTTCGATCCCTGGTACCAAAAAAAAAAAAAAGATGTGTAAGATACATTAGTAAGTACACAGGAAGAAGAGAAAGATACAGAACATCAGTGCTCTCATTTATGTGCAAACATAAAGAGAGAAACGTCCAACTGCCGTGTCTGCCTAAAATATCTCTGCAGCTGTTTGGCAGATGGGTGACTCCAGTGAGAGACACCTGGTGGCTGCAGGTGTACAAGAGATCCAAGAGGGCAGGCTGCTTTTCACCTGCTCTTACGGTAGGACCTTCGGAATTCTGTACCAGTGTATAAATTACCTTTTAAAAAATGCATCCTATGTGACTAGGATAAAGTAACAAGAAGAACTTATTTTTGATGCCTTCATTGTTCGAAGATACAATTAGGGGCTGGGGATTTAGCTCAGTGATTCTGCCACCTGCCCTGCAAGCGCAAGGACCTGAGTTCGATCCCTGGTACCAAAAAAAAGATGCAGCCAATTGTCTGCTTTAATAAAAGGTGCCAGGGGGTGGGGGATTTAGCTCAATGGTTCCGGCACCTGCCTCGCAAACGCAAGGTCCCAAGTTCGATCTCTGGTACCAAAAAAAAAAAAAAAAAAAAGGTGCCAGGAATGACTATCTTCTCTCTTTCACAGCGGATCAATCCCTCCGCAGAGATGGTGATGATCGACCGAATGTTCAACCAGGAGGAGAGAGCATCCCTGTCCCGAGATAAGCGCCTGGCACTTGTAGACCCTGGTAAGAACCCAGCAGCAGTAAGAACCCTGCTGTGACTCAGGATCTGAGGGAACGTGGGGGAAGGTGTGAACTGACCCTTGGGCAGGTCCAGAAAGTGGAATGTGAATTCTGGGGAGAAAAGTCCCAGAATTGAGAGCAGTATATGAAGATTCTGAGAATGTCTCTATTCTATAAAATCCAATTGGAATTTTCGGTTTAGTTAAGTGATTCTTCTTCCCCATTGTAAAATGAAAATTCTCAATCTTTCTGTCTTTTTTGCATGTGTGTGTGGCACTGGGGACCGAACTCAGGACATTGTGCTTGCCGGGCAGATGCAGCACCACTGAGCTACATCCCCGGTCTTTGAGAACTAAAGCAAGTCAGAAGTCTTCTCAGAAACAATTGAATCTCAGTATATTATTGAAGCCACTTGTTATTTGTAAGTCACAGGAGGAAAACATCAGTAAGAGTCCCTGACCACAGCCAGAACATTGTAACACTGTTGAAGTATTTGTCTCTCTTCACATTAGTTTCCTGCCAGTTTCACATATTTTAAGTTTGTCCCATAATCTGTCATTTTAAAATGAGCTTTGGAGTTAGAGATGTAGCTCAATGGTAGAGGATGTGCTTAGTGTGCAAGGTCCTGGATTCAGTCCCCAGCGACAAAAATAAAGAGTTCTCTGTTTTTTCCTAGCCTCTGAAATATTGTTTTGGTTTTATATGATTTTTTTTTTGGTACCAGGGATTGAATTCAGGTGCTTGTGCTTGGGAGACAGGTGGCAGAACCACTGAGCTAAATCCCCGGTCCAATATTGTTTTGATTTTGAGTAGGGGTCTCACCTATTGCCCAGGCTGGTCTTGAATGTGCTAAAGTGATCCTTCCACCTCGTCTAAAAAGTTTTAAATCAAATAACACTATAATAATTCAGAGAATATAAATTTTACCTATGTTTACACCATTTATAAAAAATGTTTTTATTTTTCTGAGTTTCTTCCAGTTCTGGCTCCCATTGCATACATTACATATATACAGTTAGAATCATAGATCATATGCTAGATATGACTTTGAATTCTAATATTCTTTCATTTAACACATCACAAGTTTTTAAATCATGTTGCTGTAGTCTTCAAAATGATATTTAATACATTTTAATATATCAGCTTGATACTTTAGCTAATTCATGCCCCTCTGTCTTAGTTACTTCTCTCATTGCTAAGACAAAATACCCGACACACAAAGTTAAAGGAGAAAGGTTTATTTAGCTCACAGTTTGTAGAGGTTTCAGTCCATAATCTCCTGGCTCCAAGGCAGGGTGGCACATTTCAGAGGAGCAACAGTTCATAGCACCAGAAGACAGCCAAACCAAACAAGCAAGGGAATTTAACAGCGGTTTTTCTGTCCCTTTTATCTTATCCAGACTACTTAGGGTGGGTAGCACTCACATCCTTAATCCTAGTACCCTTGAGTCTAGCGTTGCACCAAGAGTCAATTACACACTCTAAATTCTTTCACCTCTGAAAAAGCCCCACCTACGACTGCATGAGGCTTTGAGGGGACATCTAGACACAGGCATAACACCCTGCTATTGGACTGTCATTTTCCTCTGGCTTTAGTCTCTTTATTGTTTCTTCTGAGACCTAAATATTACAGTTTTGCCTTGTTTTTAATATGGCTGGAGAAGTCTACAAATAGAATATATGATCTTCAGACTCCATCTAGTGGAAAGGAATACTGTGTGCCTCTTAAGAGCCTCAAGCCTTTCTAAAAAGGAAGAGGACGTCGTAGCATGTATTCCTATCCTTTTCTTAGAACCTGAAATCTCTTGTAGCCTCTTGATGAACTGGCTGTGCCCTGTCCCAGCCCCCTTCCCAGGCACCATGTGGTAGGAGCCATGCTTCCCTCTGTGTGGTGCTTGCACACCCGTGTGTGGTGGGTGAAATCCTCTTTCCAGAGTCCAAGCTGGATTCCCTCCCTAGATCTCTTATTTGGGAATTTGATGAACAATTCATTTTTGCTCTTTGTACACTTTGTGGCTTTGTAAATGTCACCAGAGCCCTACTTTATTTTCTTGCTGCCTTTTTAGGCTCCCCCCAGCCAGCCTCCCGACACCCTAAATCCTCACACACACAACTTTGCCACCCGCCGACTCCCAGTGCCCAAGCAGCCCAGTGCTTACATAGACAGCGCCTCTGACCCACTGTTCTCCTTAGCACATACTGTTTTGCTGTGCTTGGCCATTCACCCTGTGGACTTGGCAAAATGACAGGCCCCTCGCATGAGTCTGGAGGAACTGAAGTCTCATCCCCAAAGACAAGTGGCTGTCTCCATCCCCCTTCCCTGCGCACACACACACACACACACACACACACACACACACTGCCAAGAAGCAGCCAGGCTGGTACCAGCGCTGACTTCTGTTTTCAGACTATTTCTTTCTTTTTTTTTTTTTCCAGTACCAGGAATCAAATTCATGCTTGCCAGGCAGATGCCGGTGCCACTGAGCTACATTTCTGGCCCTTCAGACTATTTCAAAGCAGTTCACAAGATGCTCATAGAAAATGACAGCGAGAGGTGCCGGGGTGCAGCTCAGAGAGAGAATGCATGCTTAGCATGTGCCTGGCCTGAGACCAGAGCTAAATGCAGCCTTCTGCCCCCTGTGTTTTCCCACTGGACATAAAGCAGCTACCTTTTCAAAGAGGTTCAGCTTCCTGCTGGAAGGTATAGCTCCAGAGCCTTGATTCTATGTATGGGATTCTCTCTCTCTCCCTATTCCGCCCCCCCAGCACTGGGGGGTTGAACCCAATAACTCTAAACCACACTGCATCCCAGCTATCCCTACTTCGAAAATTTTTTTAAATTTTGAGACAGGGTCTTGTTAAGCCACTGAGTTGCCCAAACTGGGCCTGAACTCTTGATTCTCCTACATCACCCTGCAGAGTGCTGGGGTCCCAGGTGTGTGCTACATGCTGACAGGGTGTGCCAACAGGGTGCACCCTCTCTGGTGCTTCTGAATGCAGCGGACCTGGTCTTGCCCGCTGAGGTCTGATGAGTCAGCCGTGACCTCTCTCGCGCTCACTAACATTCTTTCTACTCTGGTTTCCAGAGGGCTTTCAGGCCGATTTCTGTTGCTCCTTCCAACTTGATAAAGCTGCTCACGAGACACAGTTTGGCAGGAGCGACCAGCAAGGCGGGAAAGCAGCCAGCTCACTCCACCTGGCAGCCAAGGCCCAAAGCAGAGACCGAGCCAAGCTGAGCCTGACAGAACCAACGAATCATGACCAGTTTCATCCAGTGCCTAATCACATCGTGGTCTCCGCGGAGGGAAACATCTTGAAAAAGTCGGAATGTCTCGGCCAAGCCCTGAAGTTTGACAAAGCAGCCTTGGCACAGTACCGGAGCATGTGTGACGACAAGGGCAGCCGCAGAGACCCAGGGAAGTGTTCCCCCGGGCCCGAGGGCCACCTCAGAACCTTGTCCTGCCCAGACCATGGTGCCGAGAGCAAACTGTCCAGCATCCTCGCAGATTCGCACTTGGAAATGATGTGTAACAACTCCTTCCACGACAAAGCACTGAGGAACTCCCCAAAGAATGAAGTCCTACACACAGACATCATGAAGGGGTCTGGGGAGCCACAGGCAGACCTCCAGCTCACCAAGACTTTAGAAACAACATTTAAGAACATCTTGGAGCTCAAAAAGGCTGGGCGGCAGCCCCAGAGTGACCTGGCAGGGAGCGGCTCTGTGGAGCTCGATTTCCCCAACTTCTCTCCAATGGCTTCGCAGGAAAACTGCCTAGAAAAGTTCATCCCGGACCACAGCGAAGGTGTTGTAGAGACGGACTCAATTTTGGAAGCAGCTGTAAATAGTATCTTAGAGTGTTAATAGCAGCAGCGCCCCCGCCCTCCCAGTCCAGACAAGTTAGCTACTCCCCTGCAGAAGCGAATGGAAGCAGGCTCCTATCTCCGCCTGCTTTCATCTCTCATCACAGGTTTCCTTTCTATCTTAGCCCCGTCCTTTGTTTCAGAGCAATACTGTCACGGTTACAGGGAGATCCTTGAGGAAAATCAGCCCTTGGTAGAAAGCAGTCTGATAGGCCCCACACAGTCAAGTGTTCTGAAAGTGCTACGGTCCTTTCTGTCTGTCTGTTGGTGTGTTTGTGTGTGTGTGTGTGTGTGTGTGTGTGTGTGTGTGGTTTTTTTTTTTTAAAACACTGTCACTCAATGAGACCACAGTACACTTGGCCCTGGGTAAAATTCTGACAATCATAAGTCGTTTGAGAAGAACAGACTTATTAAAGAAAATCAAACAGGACTGATAGAAGCTACTTTTAAAGAATATCCAACTGCAGCTCTTAATTGCTGTTTTTTTTGTCTTGTTTCTGTTTTGAGGATTTTAGGTGGGGAAGACCACAGAATTGCTCCCCGCTCAGCCCTCACTGAGCCCCAAGCCAGGAGCGCGGAGCGGAGTACTGCTTGTTCGGTGCTTTTCAGGGCTCCTGGAGCAGAGCTGCGTGCCTGGGCACCATGCTGAGTCCACCTAGGGAGCACTCTGTTCACAGCTGCAACAGCATGGCCCAAAATAATCCATCGGGCTCATAAAGGAGGATGGAGATGGGTGAAGTGGCACAGTGTACAGGGGAGGCCAAACAGAGCCATGAGGATGATAATATGTATATATATGTAAAAGCATATACATGTTAACTATTGAAAACAAACCAAGAGTTTTGCATTTTATAATTGGGTAGAGTCAACATACAGTGTATGTTTTTGTCCATTGCTGGGTTGTGTTTCCTGACCCTCTGTACCCACTCCCACAGCAAATAGCCAAACATCAGAAGCACTTTCATTAGAAAGCTATGTTGTAATTTTTCAGTTTAAACTTGAAGGGGACTTTGGCCTTGTTGATGCTCCTTGTCATCTGAGAACAGTAGTCACCCTGGCAGCAATCATTACCAAAACACAGACAAACCAAAGGTAACCAGCCAGCCCATCACTTCGCAGAGTGCCGAAGGACACGCCCTGTCAGCCTCTGTGTTTGGCCTGTTCGTGTCTGTAACATGACTTCCTGCTTTATTTATTTATACTTCTTTTCAGGGAATGTTCCCTACTTTCCTCTCTCATACACCTGTCCCAGGTCATCCCATTCCTGTTGCTTGGTTCTCAGTGTCATTGGCCCCGTCACTGGAAGCGACACAGTGGCCACCCTTCTGCGGGTGCAGGGGTCTGAGCTGTTGGGTCACGGCGTGTGCCCCAGCTTGCTTACTCTGCTGTCTCCCTGCCTGAGGAGCACCCACTGTTCTCCACTCTGATATGTCCCAAATGGGGATGCCCCGGGGCTGGGGATGTAGCTCAGTGGCACTGCGTCTGCCTCGAAAGCAAACGGTCCTGAGTTTGATCCCCGATACCAAAAAAAACAAAACAAATGGGGAAGCCCCTCATTGTTGCTGTGTTGGGCCTGCAGTGGAAAAGAAGGTTTCTGATTATCCAGAAGCATAGCAGCAGCAGACCCTGCCCTGTGCCCCTCCATCCTGCCACACAGAGAACCCCGACAGCCAGGCTTTGTGAAAGCGGCTTATCACCTTCTCCCTGCCCCACTGAAGAAGGAAAACCTAGGCCCTCCGAGGTCTCCAGTTTTTCCCTACTTGTGCCAATGTCCAAGTCCCAGGTCCACTCTCCTGTATTATAATCTGTTAGCTAAGTTGGTATTGCCAGTTGTACCTTCCTGTTTGGGTAGCCCTGGGTTAACAAGAACCCCATGATTTTATAAGCTCTTCTTTTAATTCAAAATGGTCCCTCCTGATAAATTTTTTTCACTGTGGAACTTTATACCCACAAGCCTTCATGTAGGCTCCTAATGAATTTCATTAATTATTGCAAATCAATGGAATTATTATTTTTATCTTTTTTAAAAGTATTGGGGATCAAACCCAGAAGCGCTCGGGCCGGGCATTTAGCTCAGTGGTTCTGGCGCCTGCCTCACAAGCGCAAGGTCCTGAGTTCTATCCCTGGTACCAAAAAAAAAAAAACAAAACCCAGAAGCGCTCTACCACTGAGCTCCATCCCCAGCTCTTTTTAATTTTTTAAAAAAATAAAACAGGGTCTCATTAACTTGCCCAGGCGAGACACAAACTTGTGATCCTCCCACCTCAGCCTCCCAAAGTGCTGGGATCACAGGCGTGTCCTACTGTGCTCAGCTTTGTTTTTATTTTGTTGAGATGGGGTCTAATTTGCCCAGGCTGTGCTCAAACTTGCGCTTCGCCCTAGCTCAGTCTCCCTAGAAGCTGGGATTCCAGGTGTGCACCATCATGCCTGTCTCAATGGAATTCTTAAGAGACAAGATAAGCCTCATGTGCGTTTGTCACCTCTCTGTCCCTCTCCCACCCTGGTTCTCCAATCCTAGCTTTTTTCTCCATCCCATCTTAAAGCATTTTTAAGCCCTACCACTTGCCCAGCAAACAGAGCCTAATTTACCAAAATGAAACGCGTAAATTTCTTTGTCCTTGTATGTAAGTTTATTTTTTATGGAGGGAAGAGTCTAGATAATGACAAATGAAGATTACAGATATATTTCACCCTGTCATTAGGTTGCGCCTGGGGTCCCCACGTGGTGTGGTGCCCCTCTGCCAAGGGTGAGAGAGCGCAGCCTCTGACGGCCAAGATTCAGTTGTCCGGGTTCATCAGTCAAAGCAGTTTCAGAACTACTTGTGCTCAGTAACAAAAATAATTTTCTCTCTTTTTCCATTTGTTGTTGTGGAAACGTGTGAATGTGTTATTACGCATTTGATTTTGTGTCCTTAAGTACTGCCTGAAGATGAGGCAAATTTTAAACTGGCAATTACGAAAAAGAAATTTTCGTTGGGAAGAATTCAGTAGACTCTGTTAGATTAGGGAGGCCTTACAGACTGACTCGACTTCAAGAGGACGCGTCACTCACTGTCAGTATGGTGTGGGCTTTATTTGCTTAAATACCTTCATTTGTATAGTATGTCTCACTTGAAATTGCTTTGTATACATTTTGTAAAAATATTTATAAAATGTTTTGTAAAAAAAAGTATAACAAATTGCAGTTTATTTTGTTATGTTGGATAAATACTGTTAAAAAGAAACCAGTCAGTAACTATATTGTTAATCCATGGTTAGGAAATGTTTAGTTGGAGATTACAAAATGAAACAACCATTGCAATACAGCCAAAGATTTGGGAAAATGTGCAACTGTGATTGTCTTGATTTTGCAAACAGGAATAGCTACTTTCCCCCAGGAAAAAAGGGGAAGATAAATGTTCAGTGAGAGTTCTGGTTAAATGTATTTATTATGACCAAAAAGTAACCTACCCAGTGAAGGGACAGGATTTTAACTGATTGGCCTTTCTAAATAGTGATCAATTAAATGAAGTTGGGCAGTGAGGAAGTTTGGTCCTGGCTGGCCTCCATCCTTACTCCTATCACGTGATCCTTGGCTAAGAAAGGAGAAATGAGGATCACTGGAAAAGGTCATTTATTTTGTTTCTGTAAGGGCAAGGATAAAGCTAAAGGATAATTAAAGAAAACTACTTCACATTAAGGCTTATTTCAGATACAATATGTTTCTCTTGGGATTCACATATTTGACACAGCTGAATGGAGAAAGCATTCTGCCATCATTTCTATAGAATCAGCCTCCTTCTACTTCCATCATTACCCTGTTCAGGTTTCAAAATCCCAGCCAAGTGTGGTGTTACACACCTCTAATCCCAGGACTCCGGAGGAGGCTGAGGCAGGCAGATGGCCCCATATTCTAGGCCAGCCTGGGCTACATTGTGAGTTCAAGGCCAATCCAAACTACAAGCACAACCTTGTCTCAAAAAAACAGGTTCAAAATCCCAAAGAAGTCTCATGTTCCCTCCCACTAGGAGGTGAGAAGTGTTGAAAAGATCTTACAAAGGGCCAGGGATTTAGCTCAGGGGTTTCACCACCTGCTGCCCAAGCGCAAGGACCAGAGTTCGATCCCCAGTACCAAAAAAAAAAAAAAAAAAGATCTTACAAAGACCCCTGACCCTTAAATCCTGGGCTTAGTGCAATGGCAAGCACCTATAATTCCAGCACCTTGAAGGCTGAGGCAGGAGGATTGCAAATTCTAGGCCATCTTGGGCAATTTAGCAAGAACTTATCTCAAAATAAAATTTTAAAGAAAAAAGGTCATGTGTGTAACTCAATGGTGAGTGCTTCCCTAGCATACATGAGGCCTTGGGTTCAAACTCCAGTACTGTGCACATGCATGCACACACACACACACACACACACACACACATTTAAGTACCGAGTGGGCAAACATTTGGAATTGATATCCCCCCCATCTCCAAGATTGTACATGATGAGGGAAAGACCAATTCCCAAGAGAGACAGGATACTGTTAGGAAATGGGAATGAAGGTTGGCAGGCCCTAAAAATAAATGTCCATGAGATTTCAGGACTTGAAGCCCTGTGTCACTGCACACAACTGCATAGTCCTCCATGATGTATCCAACCATTCCCTAAAGCTGGGCGTGGCCAGGAGAACTGAAAGCTAGGTGTGGTGGTGCATGCCTGTAATCCCAGCACTTGGGAGGCTGAGGCAGGAGGATCACTTGTGAGTTTGAGGCCAGCCAGGGCTACATAGTGAGTTCAAGTCCAGCCTGAGACCCTGTCTCAAAAAACAAAAAAAGAGAACAGAGCCTATGAGGATAGACTAAAAAGTTGATTTTTTTTAGGGCTAGGGATTTAGCTCAGTGGCACCGCACATGCCCTGTAAGTGCAAGGTCCTGAGTTCAATCCCCAGTACTGCAAAATATATAAATAAAAATGAATTTTTAAAAAAAGTTGATTTTTTAAGGTTCTAGATAGCCATGACACATTTGCATTCAGTAACCTCATTTTAGGGGGAAAGAAAACCTGCATATCATGTGGGCAGTGATGCGTAAACACAAATCCAGTGAGCGCGCAAGGTCATGGTTGCAAAGGACTCCATCCTTTCCGGGTCAGACTGGTGCGGCGCCAGCTTTGCTTGGAGAATCAGCACTCTCCTAGCGCCATCTGCTGGCTAAGAAAACCATTTCCTGCATCTTCACTTCCCAAGTCCCATTCCGCTGGGAATGTTAACAGCCCTGAAATTCTCCTCCCTGAGTAGGAGAGTACCACAGAATCTACTTTTTTAATCACAGAAAGTTATAAAATATTGTTTTTTGGGGTCCATTGTTTACTCTTGAATGGCTCTTGCATTTTGGTGAACCTTCTCTTTTCCCTCCAAAGTAAGGTGCATGGTATGGCATGGAAAGAGTGAGAAGGAGCCCCAGGTCACTGGCTGAGACTCTGAACATCTTTCCTTTCCACCTTTATCAGGTCATAAGCACCCTGGTCCGTCCCCTGCCTTTTGGGGTAGACTAGTTACTTAGCACACAGCACAGTGATGCCCTGCGTTGCCAGATGACACTCGGATATTTAACAAACCCCACCGGCCCTCCGTGTAAGAGGTGTTGCAGAAGATACGGAGGAAGTATGATAAATCCCCTGTCCTCAAAGAGCACACAACATAGGGTGTGGTGGCACACGCCTATAATCCCAGCACTGGGGAGGCTGAGGCCAGAGGATCACTGCAAATTTGAGGCCAGCTTAGTCAGCTACACAGTAAGTTCAAGGCCAGCCTGAACTACATAGCAAGACCCTGTCTCAAAAAACAAAATATAGTATGGTCCACAAACCAGCAGCACTGGTCTGTGAAGCTTGTTAAAAATGCAGAATAGGGACGGGAATTTAGCTCAGTGGCACTGCACCTGCCTTGAAAGCACAAGGTCCTGAGTTTGATCCCCAGTACCAAAAAAAATGCAGAATATAACCTGTGGGTGGTGGCACAAAGTTAATCCCAGCTACTCCAGAACGAGAGACAGGAGGATCTCAAATTCTAGGCCAGTTTGGGCAATTTAACAAGATGCTGTCTCAAAAAATTTTAATATTAATTAATTCGTTGGTTGGTTGAGAATGGGTCTGTGTAGCCCAGTCTGGCATTGAACTTGAGGGTATCCTCCTGCCTCAGCCTCCTGAGTGCAAGGGTTACAGCAGAATACAACTGGCTCTAGTTTTTTTTTTCAAAGGGCTGAGGATGTAGCTCAGTGTGAGAGTACTTGCTACCAAGCAAGAGTAAAAATTTGCCTTTTAAAGGGATCCTCAAGTGACTCCTACACACATGAATATTATGGAGATTTCCAGGGAGGACAGAACTTGTGATTCTCAGGACACTCACTAGGATAGCTAGGAGCATACAGCAAGCGGTGAGCGCCACAGGAGGGGAGCTCTGAGATGTGAGGTGCATTTCTGGTTTCCGGTCCAACAGTGATAGTGACCAGCATAGGGTTGACCACTTACTGTCAGACACTGTCTTCCGCGCTTAATGTAATTTCACCTAGACCTCCTAACGCTGCTGCTCATCTCGTGGGTAAGGAAACCAAGATAGGGCGGGGGATTTAGCTCAGTGCTTCTGGCGCCTGCTTCGAAAGCGCAAGATCCCAAGTTCGATCCCCAGTACCGGAAAAAAAAAAAAAGGAAATCGAGGTAGAGAGGGAGTAAATAACCGTCACCGGTGAGGGAACAAAGGCAACAGAATCGGGGCTACATTCTTTTGTTCATATCACTTAGGATTGAACCCAGTGCCTTTGCACTGAGCTACATCCCCAACCCCTTTTTATTTTGGAACAGGGTCTCACTAAAGTTGCCCAAACTGGACTCAAACTGGCAGCAATCCTCCTGCCTCAGCTTCCCAGAGAGCTGGGATCGCAGGCATGTGGCACTGCACCCACTCGGGTGCTTTACCACCCTAGGCAGTCTACAATCACCTCCACCATAGGTGGGAGCCAAAGCCAGGCCTTCAGGCCTTCCCTGCCCAGCGAATACACCCCCCCCTCCCCCCGCCGCAACCCCCGCCCAAGTTGCCAGACTCCCTGTGCGGAGTTGAGAGACACAGTGTGAGCCGGAAATGCGGCGCGACTGCGGAGGCAGTGGTGCATTGTGGGAAGCTTTTTATTCACAGCCAAGGCGCCAGAGGTTCGAGAATGTACCTTAAATGAAAAGAACTTGATTTTGAAAATGGCATAGGCATTAAAAGATATGAAAGGCGTGCTAAAGAAACTCTGCGCCATTTTTTGCATGAATCATATGGTTAGCAAGACCTCTTAGAGGCTCACAGTTGATAAGGGGGCGTTGGCTGTCCGAGTCATCCAGCGTGAGCTAGAGTAGCCCTCTCGATGATCCAAGTAAACACAGAGCGAGTCCTCTCTTCACCACCGGGTGGCCGTGCGCATGAGCTGTAACCTCTCTGCGGGAAAGATGGCGGAAGAAGAGTGAGTTTTTAGCGTTTGGCTCCGTGGAGTGGGACCTTAAGTATCCGATGACATCCTTCGTGTTAAGTGCTTTGGTGATAGAAAAGGAGGATGGATGCGGGTTGTAGGAAGAGAAAAGGAAAGGGCCAAGGTTACAGAGGGTCGCGATGTGGAATGAGGGACTGTAGGGCTGAGACGAACAGAGGGCCGCCGTCAAATTCGTGTTAGCTCGAGAGTCGAGGACAGACTGCGGATAGGGAAACTGAGGTACAGAGGAGAGAGTTGTGAGAGTGTCAAGAGTCGGAGTCATGCCACCTGACTTTCAGTATTCACTCTGCACTTGAACCAACGCCTCGAGGTTTTACTAGATCTCACAGGTGTTAATGTCTGGAAAATTGTGACAGTAAAAGCTATTGACGTATGCGAACCAGAGAGCTGGCCTCTTTTGAGACAGTGTCGCTCAGTAAAGCAGGCTGGCCTTGAACTCACTATGTAGTCCAGGCAGGCCTCAAACTCAGGGCCAGCCCTCCTGCCTCAGCCTCCGGAGTGCTGAGATTACAGGCGTGAGCCACCACTATGCATTCAATGGCTTTTTAAGACTTTGGGGATGAGTGAATGAGAGGGTCCATGTTGAAGACGTGACCTGGGAACTTGAAGGTGGTGATCCCCATAGTCCAGGATCCTGAATTGGTTTGGAAATGCATTGAATGTTCGTTTCCGAAATCTTATATTGCTGATCTTGATTTTCTATATCAGGCAAAGGAAAAAGATCCCCTTGGTTCCAGAAAATCTCCTGAAAAAGAGGAAGGCTTATCAGGCCCTCAAAGCCACCCAGGCAAAGCAGGCACTTTTGGCAAAGAAAGAGGTAATTCTGGGAAACTGGAAGAAAGTGTTAGAAATAGTGTTGGATGAATTTTATCCAGCAAATTGTTTATATGCCAGAAACTTCACCGGGGATATAGCTCAGCGGTACAGCACCGGCTTGGCAAGCACAAGACCCTGAGTTCGAGTCCTGGTACCAAAAAGAAAAAAGAGCTTTTCCCAGTAACTTTTGAGCTTTATTAATCTTTTTTTGAGACAGAGGCCTGCTATGCAGTTTATGCTGGCTGTGAATTCACTGTGTAGCCCAGGCTGGCCTCAACTTTATGGCAATCCTCCTGCCTCAGCTTTCAGACTGCTGACGTATCCAGCGTGCACCACCACACCTGGCCCAAGTTTTCTCAGCCTTTACTTGGTTTCTCACTTTTCCCTTATATAAGAACAGAGTGTATTTGTTTGCTCCCCTTTACAAAACTTAAAAATATGCTCTATCGTTAGTGACTCCTGAATTACTATTGTGGAAGTAAACTGAGTGTCAAATGGCCATGGTGGTGCATGCCTGTAATGCCAGCAATTTAGTGAGACCCTGTCTGAATAAAAAATAAATAGGCCTAGGGGTGTAGGTCAATCCAGAGGCCTTGGGTTTAATCCCCAGTACAACAAAAGAAAAAAAGATGAGTGTGGATACAAAGTACAATATTGATGATGGTCTGTCTTTTCTACAAAAGAGAAAGGTAAAAGAGATCAGATTTAAGCGACTGGAATCATTCCTGCATGATTCCTGGCGACAGAGACGTGATACGGTACGAGTGAAACGACTAAAAGTGAAACCTCGAGCTTTGGAAGCACCTGATAAACATTCCTTGGCCTTTGTTGTCCGCTTCCAAAGGTAAAGTACTGGTGTCTTTTCAGTTGCCCTGGGTAGGTCTTTGCAGCTGGGAGAACTGTTGATTCAGCTTTATACCTTTTCTGGGGAGATGAGATAGGACGTAAGCCACTGCTAGGGGTTCAGAGTTGAGCATGACAGTTTCCCTTTGCACAGTTAGGAAGAATGACCTTGGGCAGATGGACTGGCATAGAAAGGAGTTCAGCAGGGCCAGGAAAAGGCTTTCTACGCAGAATATTGAAGTAGAGAAATCCAGGCATCTTTATAGGAACTAAAACAAGGCAGAATGGGTGAAGCAGATCAGTACTGGGAGAAATTTCCATGTTTTGTGGTACTGTGCTGACTGTCCCTATTCACATGTACCTGTGACTATTGCTATGAAACTTGTGAGTTTTAAATACTCCTACCACTCCCCACAACCTCTTGGTCGGACTATTGTACTCTGTTAGTTTTCTAACTGGATTTTCCTGCCTCTGGTTCACAGTCTAAGATCTTTCCTATTGGCTGAATTCAGTGATTATCAGAAAAAATCTGGTGTTTCTCTTGCTTAAAATCTTTAGTAGCTATCACTACCCACAAATTCAGGGACTGTTCTCCCTTTGGCATTCCTTCACATCAGGGGAAGATGGTACATTTACAAACTGCCACCCACTAAATAGAGCTCTTCAAGGCATGGTATGTCTTTCTCCTTCCTTTGTCAGTGGAATGGTACGTATTTCCTAGGTGCTTGCTCTAGACTGCCATAAACTGGAGAGGGCCTGACTTACTTTCCTGTTTGTTCCAGAATTAACGGGGTGAGTTTAATGGTACAGAGGACCATTGCAAGACTTCGCCTGAAGAAGTTGTTCAGTGGCGTCTTTGTTAAAGTCACCCCCCACACCCTCAAAATGCTGCGTGTAGTGGAGCCTTATGTGACCTGGGGGTGAGTTTTTCCATGTGCGTTCACAATGCACAGGCTGTTCTCCCAGGCTTGTGTGCTCCATTGGACATGTTGTGACCACACTGCCCAGAAATCAGGAAACTTGGAACATGGGGCTGGCAGGGGGAGGATCAATGATGCTAATGCAGACCGAGCAGTGTCATGGCGGGGCTTCTTCAGTTGACAGCTTGGGGTCTTGAAGCCGAGCCAGTAGCAATGCTTATATTAGTATTCCTTAAACATTAAAGCCCAACAGAGGCGTGGGTTTAATACCCAGCGTCTCAACCCTCTTGAGTGGACTGGAAGCCAGGGTAAGGTTTTTTAGTGCTTTGGTGCCAAAGTGAGCACAAGGTATGGTTTTGGTTGTATCTGGGAAGTAAATTATTCTGCCAGGTAAGCACTTACCCATACAATTAAATGTCTTGTTAAAATAGAGCCAGGGCCACTCTGTTTTAATTCCCACCTACATATATGTATCCCAAGCTGGAAAGGGAGTGCAGAACACACCCAGGTTGAGGGCTGAGGTGGGTAGGAGAACTTCCCCTCCTTAGCCCGGCCACGGGACTGGGTGGCTGATGGCAGTGTACCGCGTGCCAGCTAAGGCTGTGCTTGCTTCTGCCTCACGTAGATTTCCAAATCTGAAGTCTGTCCGGGAACTCATCTTGAAACGTGGACAGGCAGAGGTCAAGAATAAGACCTTCCCTCTGACGGACAACACAGTGATCGAGGAGCACCTGGGTGAGTGCCGCAGCAAGGGGTCTTTGGTGGTGTTGCTGTGGGAACCTGGGTATGTTCTTGTTGGGTCCCCAGGAGCTTCTCAGTGTACACTGCACAAACGGAGAATAAAGGAATCTGTGCCTTTGTGTCTCTTAGGCAAGTTTGGTGTCATTTGCCTGGAAGATCTCATTCACGAAGTGGCCTTCCCGGGGAAGCATTTCCAGGCGATCTCCCGTTTCTTGCACCCTTTCCACCTCTCTGTGGCCCGGCATGCTACCAAGAACAGGGTGGGCTTCATCAAGGAGATGGGCTCACCTGGCTATCGGGGTGAACGCATCAACCAGCTCATCCGCCTGCTGAACTAGTTCCAGGTGAGCTAGTGCTGAACACTATCCTTGGTCCAACTTTTCATGGGCTGCACTTCGTCCCCTAAAAGTTCTTTTTGTAGGCTGGGGTATAGTTAGTGGTGCAGTACTTGCCTAGCATAGGAAAGACCTTGGCCTTGGTCCCCAGCAGTGGGGGGAAAAGGTTTTTAATGTATTTACCACTATATGAGTAAATGGGAGGTTGGGAGGAAAGAAGAAGTGGGTGTTTCCCAGTCTGATGGATAGAGACATGGGCTCTGGGTACTGTAAAAAGGTACAGGGCAGGGCTGGTGGGGGTCAAAGTGGTAGAGCACTGCTCTAACATGCCCAAGGCCAGGTTCAGTTCCTAGCAAGTTACAGGCTAGAAAACATCTGTTACTATGGTTTGTTTAGGTGGAAATAGAAAAGGTAGAACAGAAATTTTAAAAGGATGTTAACACCCAAGTCATCTGTGTATCTTGTTGAAGGACTCTTTGAAATTGCTTTTTTTTTTTTTTTTGGTGCCAGAGATCGAACTCGGGACCTTGCACCTGCAAGGCAGGTGGCGGAACCGCTGAGCTAAATCCCTGGCCCCTGAAATTGCTTTTCATTGATGCTATTATTTATCTTGGGGGTGTGCATTGTGATGTTTATGTTTATGCAGTTGTGCTTTTTCTTCCTCAGATTATCAAAGCACAGTGCCTTGGAAGCATGTGTTTTTGTTTTTCGGAACTGTTACCAAGTATCTTCAGAGAAGATGATTTTCTGCCCTCAGAACTGGAAGGAAGCTGTCAGGGAAGTGCAGGTTCTTGTCATGGTGGGCACCTCTCACCACTGCCCAGTTTCAAGAAAAGTTCCATTGTTTTCCACATTGTCCATCGCCACCGCTGCCACTGAAATCAGCACATGCCATGTGGGAAGGAGTCCTGTTTTGTTGCATTTTCTGTCCTGGGGTTTGGTGTTGGTGAATGAATAACCTGACACGGGTATGAGGCTCCCTACAGCTTGTAGCAGTAGAACCAGCCCAGAGGCATACTTGAGTCTGGGGTTCCAGGGCTTTCTTTTGAAAAGACTTGAAATACAGTTAACAAAGATCACAAAAACAAGTGTTCACCTGCCTCTGTTGTGAGTCCGTGTTGCAGCTTGGTGAGGTCTCAGACTGGCTGGCCGAAGTGGCTGTTGTACCCTGCCTTGCAACTGACTTGGCTTCTTTTCTCTAACTCAGAATTCCCAGAAGACAGACATTGTTGAGTTTGTTGGGAATTTCAGGGTCCTCCTGGGGTCCTTTCTTTCAGTACCAGAGCATCTTGTATAGAGAAGCCCTGTTCCTGTGGGTATTGGTCACCCAGGCCCTGAGCTAGCTAGTAGTCTGGTTTGTGCCCTGTATAAGACGAAGCTTACCAAGCCAGTTGGTTGCTTCCTGTTAGCATAGTTTCGATGTGTTGCCTTCCGCACCATCTGTGACTGAGAAATGCCCACCATATTTTTCTTGGGCTTCAGGCTGTAATTTCCAGTTTTCCTGACGATTAACTGTCTCCAGGTCAGGAAAAAGCTATTTTCTTGGTTTGGCATCGATGGAATTAGCTTTTTAGGCTGTGGGTAGGCAGCTTAGTTGGATCTTTTACTTGAATATTCTGGACTCAAAGAATTGCGCTTTGCCTGGTAATGATGGAGTAGACTAGGGACAAGGGTTCCAGGGATATGAATCTGAAAAGTCCTTGCTGCCACATAGTTGCTGTAGGGTATTTCATTTCATAGATCTCTGAAGTCATTGTGGGGCCAAATTTTATGATCAGACCTTCCTTTCACTGCCTATCTGGAAAATGGCTGCCCAAAGTGAAAGTGTCACCTGGATCCCAAGGTGTGATGCTGAGTGGTTTTCACCCGTGTCTTCTGCTGCTCCCTCACTGGCCACAGCTCACCAATCTGAGCAGTTGGTCAGGAGATGCCAGAGAGGCCCGGGCTATATCGAAAATGTGTTCAACCATTGTGCTCCCTGATCCTTTCAGATCAGTCTCGCTGCAGGGTTGGCTCTCGGCCCTCAGCCATAGCTGTGAAACTGAGTTAGAGGGTTAGCAGTGCATTGCAGCCTCCCAGGTTATGAGGTCATTAAGTGGGTTGGTTCCATAGTTAACCTTCCAGGGATAGGTGTTCGATTATTTTACCGTTATGAAATCATATAACTTTAAAGTGATGTGCCAATAAGTCATTGGATAACAGTGTAGGTATGGAAGTCGGGTTTCTATCCCAGATCTGTCTTACTAAATAAGGGACCAAGGACTAGGGCTGTAGCTCAGTATAGAATACTTGCCTAGCATGTAAGGCCCTGGTTTTCATCCCCAGCACCACAAAATAAGAACTGTTTCCACTCTTGTAAAGAGCAAGCTTGTCTGCCTCTAATGGTGGTTTATTTTTTGGACCTGGGGATCAAACTCAGGACCTTACGCTTGAGAGGCAGGTGGTATTACCACCGACCTAAATCCCTGGCCCTTTAATAGTGGTTTAAGGGGGCTGGGGATTTAGCTCAGTGGTTTCGTCACCTGCTGCGCAAGCACAAGGACCCAAGTTCGATCCCCGGTACACACACACCACACACCCCCGCCGCCAAAAAAAGTGGTTTAAAAAGCAATTTAGCTCAGTGGCACTGTACCTGCCTTGAAAGCGCAAGGTGTCCTGAGTTTGATCCCCAGTACCAAAAAAAAACCCATTTAAAGCCAGACATGGCCCAGGCCTGTAATCCCAGCTGAAGCTGAGGTGGGAAGATTGCTGTGAGTTGGAGGCCAGCATGATCTACATAGACCCTGTCTCAAAGGGGGGGGATTAATCATTTTTAACTTAAAATTCTGTGTAAATATCAAAAAATCATTGAAAGTGCCCGGTGATCAGACTAGGCCATGCTAACGGGTTTTTCGAGGCACTCACACCAGCTGTGTTCGTTTCCTCACGAAGGCAGCGTTGGTGGCCCGTTTACAGGCACTGCCTTCAGAAGGTGGTAGGGAGAGCTTTTCTTCTGTGAGGCCGGCCCTTTGCCCGTTTCCTAAAGGCTTTTGTGATTGGTTACTGCCAGGTACTTCATAGGTCTCGAGTCATCCTGGGGCCAAATTTTAATACCAAACTTTCCCTTCACCCCGTCAGGGAAGCGCCACCTGGATCCCAGGTTCCCTTTGGCGCCAGCACCAGAACAGGCTGGCCTAGGTGTAAGCTGACGGTCCCATGTTACTAACCCGGGTGGGTCGGGGCGACAGTGTGGCCTGTGTCCGCTTGTTTTCTTTGCTGCCAGGGAAGAACCCAGGGTCTCCCACGTGCCTGGCTGCACCCCAGCAACCCCCCCCCCTTTGTATTTTGACAATTTTGAAAACAGACGCAAAGGCAAATACTTGACACCGATGGAGCAGGGTTTTATTTTTAACTGAGAATCTGGTCCAGAGTTCCGAGTTAGTGGGCAGCCCCAAGGAGACTCCAGAAGGCTAGGTCCGGTGGCGTCTGGGCAAGACAAACGCATAAAAGATGTAGTGGCCGGCTTCCAGGGTCACAAGTCAGTGCGGGGCAATGTCCCTCCTATCTCAGGAGCCCGAGTGAGGCAAGGCAGCGCCCTCCCAGGGCTTGGGCCTCCGCGGGAGCCGGGACGCCGTGGGGTCGCCGTGGGTGGCCGTGATGTGGCGCTTCTCCAGCCCCGGGAGCTCCTGGCCTCGCTGCATCAGCTGGAGAAGCTGGGCCAGAGTCCCTGAGGTCGAGGGAGACCCGGCGGGGGTGAGGGGTCGGAGGGCCGGGCCGGGGCTGCGGGGCCGATCCATCTGCGTGGGACCTGCCCGGAAGGGTGGAGCCTGTACTTCCGGGACGCGGAGCCTGTCGGGACCGCGAGGAGCAACCACTTCCGGGGACGTGGAACCCTGTCGGGATCGCTGGGAGCCAACACTTTGCGAGGATGCAAGTGACACTATCGTTGTGGGACGCTGGGAGATTGGGCCATTCAGAACTACCCTCACTGGAGCACGCGAGGTAGCTCAGCTCGGCACAGAAACGCTCCGGACTGGAGGATTTAGCGCACCCAGGCAACCCTACATGGAATGCCTCTTTAGAAAAGGCTGAAGCCGGGGGTGGCCACACTCATCTGTAGGCTCAGCGCTTTGGGAGGCTTAGGCAGGATGATCGCAAATTCGAGCCCGGCCTGGGCAATTTAGTGACTTAGCAGAACCATGTCTCAAAATAAAAAGGCCTGGGAAATGTAGCTCAGTCCAAAAGTCCTGGGTTCAATCCTCAGTACTGGAAAAAGCAAAACAAACAAAAAGCAATGTGTAATGAGTGATCCTAGATTGGAGCCAACGTGGGGGTGAAAATAATCTGTAAAGCACATTTCACTCTTGGAGAACTTTAAATATGACCCACGTATCAGATGACATCGTGATAGCGATGTCAGTTTCTCACAGCGCTGTGGTTCTCTGGAGAATGCTCCTTTTCATAGGAGACTGGAAAGTGACCGTGGTGAAGTTGTGAGGAGAGAAAGCAGAGGGGCAGAATTGCTAAGGACCAGGGGCTGTGGATGGAAGTTTTCGATTTCAGGATAAAAGGTTGGTCTTGAGCTCAGTGAGAGCTATATCGCCCACGTGGGGTGAAACTCACTACAGTACATGTTGTAGAGCCAGGAATTGGTCTGAGAGGGAGGCTAAATCCTTAGAATTCCTAGTCTGCTAGGAACAAGGTGACTCAGGGTGGATCCGCACTAGTTGCAGGATAGGGAGCAGTCATACTGCACACACAGCCATGTGACGAGAGCTTTGAGGCCGGGAGGGAAGGTGGAACTGCTCTCTAGCCAGTGAGTTAAACAGTTGTGCACAGGTTATAAAACCTGACCACAACTCCGGACATAGCTCAGTGCAGCTTCCTAGCTGGTGAACATACCAAGAGACAGCCTGATTTTGTGAGGAGAGGACAGCAGTTCTGCAGTCAGAGCTCTCCCAGAACTCACCCTCTGTGTCTCTTTTTTTGCTTGAAAGTCCTGGTTTGTGTCCTCTACAATAAAACTACACACCAACCATGGTGGCACATGGTTGTAATCCCAGAACTCTGGGAGGCTGAGGCAGGAGGATTGAAGGTTCAAACCAAGTGTCTTAGTTAATTTTTCTTGTTGCTGAGACAAAATGCCCAACACCCAAAGTTAAAGAAGAAAAGGTTTATTTTTATCAGAGGCCGATCAGTCCTTTGATCTGCCTAGAAAGGGGGTCAGTGAGGGCTAAAGAAGAAAGACATAATTTTGTAATACATGGGCTAGGAGGTCAGTGCCTCACAGTGGGCAAGAACAAAGACACTCCGAGCTAGCCACTATTTATTGGATGCACACAGTAATCGGAGGGAGTATCAGGTGACTTAGAGGGCGGCAGTAATCCTATGTTGAGGATCCTAGGTTGATGAGGGTCTTATGTTGATGAGGACAGTAAGATGGGCAAAGCATTCGTATAATAGTAGGTGTGCCTTCCCCCAGGTGAAACCTCTCCTTCTTTCTCAGTCTCTCTCTCTCTCTCTCTCTCTCTCTCTCT